AGTCCTTTCCCTCACTGAGACTTACACTGAAACCCAGTCTCAAGTGAGCCTGGAGTGTCCACACCATGAAACCTTCCCTGCTTTCTATGTGGCCCTTTAAATTCAGGCCTGTGGCATGTTTTTAAATAATATTGTCATAGTTGATGGTTTCACATCATTATTTCTGTTACTATTTGAAAACCAAGTAGTAACTAGAGATGGTGACTCTTGGGTATTCATGTTTTCCCAGAGAAATGGTGGGATCCTGGAATTAGAGAAGATGGGAAGGAAAAGATCGCTCATAGGATCGTATGTTCTGGTCTTGGTTATCCAGACTGGAAATAGGTACTTGGTTTGCTTTGGCCTGAAATTTTATAGCCCAGCCTGGTTCTCCCCAGCATGCCTCTGAGCAATCATCTTTATTTTTAATTGGTGTATGTTTTCAATGAGTGAAAGAAACATCAAACCATATTTTAAAAATGGCTGAAATTTTAGCAATTAGGAAATATGATAAATTGATAAATATAGTCATACACTACATAATGATGTTTCAGTCAATGATGGACTGCATATGAAGGTGATCTCACAAGATTATAATAGAGCTGAAAAATCCCTGTCGCCTGGTGATGTCCTAGCAGTGGTAATGTTGTAGTGCAGCAGATTACCTTTCTATGTTTAGATACACAAGTAAGTACCACTGTGTTACAGTTGCCTGCAGTATTCAGTACAGTAATGTGCTGTGCAAGTTTGTAGCCTAGGAGCAACAGGCTATACGATATAGCCTAGGTGGGGAGTAGGTCATGTCATCAGGTTTGTCTAAGTACATGCTGATGTTCCCACAATGATAAAAGAGCCTAATGACACATTTCTCAGAATGTATCCATGTCTTAAGCAACACATGACTGTAAAATCAAGCTGAGCACACATACACTCTTTTTGGTCAACTCCCCACTGCTTTGCCACATTAGCGGTTGGTTATGGTTTAATCTTTATATTTGGATGCAGTATTGGACTAAGCACTCTTGCTTCTATAATCTCATGGTAGGTAGGTCTTATTATCTCAGTTTTACAGCTGACAAAACCAGGGAGATTCAATCACTTACCTAAAGTCATAGAGATAATCTTTGGCAAAGACGGGATTTGAACCCAGGTCTTCTAATTTCACAACTGGTGACCACACCAAACAGCCAGTTGAGTATGGAAATGTTATAAGAATTTTTCTATAAATTATTTTCTAAGTGTAAATAATTTTCTATGTTGCATTATTAAGTGAACCCATACACTAAAAATATAGAGGTATATTCCAGTAGAATTAGAAAGTATAAGTATTATTTCCTAATAATAAAATCACATATGAAAATATAGCATGTCTTTATAATCACATATTTTCAAGAAAATAACCTTTTGATAAACCACTAATAAACAATGTCAGATACTAACATTGATTCTCAAAATATGGACATTAATAAGTGCCACAGTCAAAATACATTAAAATAAGACTCTCAAAGTAAAACCATAAGAAGTGACTTGGTTTGTGAGTTCCTTAATTTAGGAATTAAGTGAGGGCTACTGGTACTTGAAGCCAAGAGAAATTAATCTTGCAAATGTAGGCTACCAGAAATGTTTCAGTTTTGTCGAGCTGCCTTATTTCCTCTTGAAATGAGGAAATAGACAAATAAATCTAGTAGGGAGTCTTTCACCTGAAAAAGATGAAGAGGAAGCATTCACAATAAACGCGGTAAAAGCCCACTGCCTCCCTGCTCCTCTGGGCAGGGACAGTGGCAAGAGATGGGGGTGGGGACAGGCTCAGCTCTGGAGACAGCAAGAAGGCTCAGGCCACCGTGACTGCCTCTGTAATTTCTACTTCTACATAAGTAGCCCTTTTCTCCCACATATTTACTTTTTTTGTAATGAGTGAGCCAAAAAAAGAAAAGAAAAGGGAAAAAAATTAAATTTCACTTTTAGATGTGGCTCACAGGCTAGGTTTGAAAATAAATGTTGGCCGTTACCTTATCAGATACTCTACGGCCATATTTTTAAATATTCTTTCTGCAAAGGGCCTGTTTATAGCACCAGCAGAGGCTGCAGGAGCCCAGCAGGGGTATGATAGTGGATTGTGGCCTGAGGTGCGTATTTGCTTGAGAAAAATTGCTGCCAGATGAGTGGTTTCAAAAAGCTAAGGCTGCTGCTGTGGTCTTTAGTGCCTCGAGGATTAAAGGGAATACAGCTTCTCCTCTCCTGTCTAAATATTTGCTGGAGAGCTAATGGGTTTTTGTATGCGTGTGTATTTCCTTTTTCTATTGGGGAAATTACAAGTAATACAGGAACATCCTGTGATAAAATATATGAAGTAGAGGCTGAGGAGGAGCAGATGGATGAAGTAGAAGAAACGTGCCCCAGGTCTGTGGCATGTTGCATTATGACTAAATTCTTGGCATCGTGGATTTGTAAGTCTACAGATGATAACTGCAGTGTAAAACAAGGAATGTATACAGCATAAATAGAAGATAGGCTATTCAGTCAGCAGCTTTTAGTGTAAAAAGCTTTCATTCCCATCAAAGAGACAGGAATGCTTTCACAAGCTTAAATTTTGTTTTATTTTAAACTAGTACCCACCCTGGAAGATTTCCAGTGAGAGTAAACCCATATAATCTCAAATACTCATGCATCTGAATGAGCAGAGCCTTCTTGGCATTGCTTAAAATAGTATGATAAATGACTCTCCCAATACTGTATCTGCAAATCTGGTTAGATGCCTGCATCAAAGTAGTGAGACTGGGAATAGTTTTAACTCTCAAGTTTCCAAGCAAAAAAAACATAGGAAAGATCTCAACCTGTGGTGGTGAATTCTGCTGAAAATAGGAGTGTAGAAATTTCTTGAATATACTAATCTTTGTTCTCATTATCCTCTCTTCAAAAGGAAGTTTAAGGCTTCAAAATAATAAAATTGTCCTATTAACATTTTTATTTGCCAATCCTTGCTTTATGAAATTGCATATTAATGAGTATTTTATAACCACGAATTACATTTCAAATTTATTTACTTGCCACCTTTTAATAAACTGAGTTCTCTGTTCCGGAGGTAGTGTCTTCTAAGGAGCCTTTTTTGGAGCTTGAAGAAAGCCCTCCCTGCAGGGCACCAGGAAGACCCTTCATCCAGCCAAAAGAGCCCCACTGGGCCCCTGCAGGCGAGAGAGGGCAGTGGCAGGGATGTGAGAGGACAGAAAGACAGGCTGGCAGCTCCTCTGCCCCCTTCCACTGCCCCCAGAGACCCGGGGAGAGTGCCAGTGCGGGCCCATTGCCCTTATTCTCTCTGCCCTCCTAACCAGGGGAAGTGAAGAGACAGCTGGCCCTTCCTGTGCCAGGGACCCCCCAGAAGGGCTCTCAGTCTCCTCCCTCCCTCTGCTGGACCTTCTTAGAGAAAGTTCTTCTTTTGCTGCCTCTTTCTGGAAATAGCTTTCTTTGTGGATCTGGGCAATGGTGAGCAGCTATGACTGTATCTGTTCTTGCCCAGTTACCTGGGCCTTGGGGCCTGGAACAGGAGAGGTAGCAGGGGGTTGCCAGGGGGGGTGCCCAGATGAGAAAGGTTCTTTCCACAGCACACCACCTGCGTTTTCTGAGCCCATCAATTAGAGATGCCCTTTGGTTAACCAGATTCCTATCCCCTCATCTGGGGGGGCAGGGGAGGGAAAGTAAAACTTTTAATTGAAATATAACATATATACAGAAAAGTGCACAGATCATAAGTTTACGTCTCACTAAATTTTCACAAATAGAGCACCCATGTAACAAGCAACCAGATCAAGCTTATCATTTTATAATGATATTTCTTTCCTGATTATAAAAGCACTTTTAGGAATTTTGGAAAATACAGCAAAGTATTAAAAAAAAACACTCATTGTACCTACATCCCAAAACAACCACTGATAATTTTTTGCAGTGTTTCCAATCTGTCTGTCTCTCCCCCTTGCATACACAGATGTAGTTAATACATGTGCCTACAAATACACTCACACAGGACACAGCTTCTGAAAATGAATGCATATGTTCACAAACACACAGAAATTTCAAATAGTTGAAATAAATGACACACAGATTTTTAGATGTTTCACTGTGTGGTCGTTGGCTTCATCACCAGGATGGCAGACAATGAAAGACAGGGAAACTGAAAACCATCTGTCTCTTTACGTGGTGGCAGAAAAAAGGGCGTTTTGTGGGGGAGGGGGCTGAAATAGATGATTGACATATAAATATGCATGATTCATAGATTTCATTTATCTAATATTTTTCTATCTTTCAGAAGACTAGGCATTGATGATAGACAGTTGAGAGACATCTGCGCTTCACGCAGAGCAGAGGTGAAACTCAGACTTTTTTGGCTGCTGTGTAGAACTAAACCCCTTCTGGGCTACAGTTTCGCTTTGCCGAAAGACCAGCTTTACCTTTTTTTCTTTTGATTGGCTCTCTTGCAGATACCAAAGCAGACTTTAACTGTAGCAACTCTTTTTAACAAAAGGAAGCTGAGTCAAAACATTGGAAATCGGCTCAGTCATTTTTGAATTGCAACAAAATCATCTTTCCCATCACTGCTAACATGAACGAAAGGACACCTTCGTGGTTCTGGTTGCTTTGGTCCTAGCTGAGTGTTCTGCAGGCATTGTCTGGAAGGGACAGTTGGCAGCAGCTTCCCGTTGCTGTTGGCTGTGCAGGATGTGTTTTCCCTCTGCCTCCTGGCGGGCCGAGGGCTCAGCCTCTGCAGGGAGGTTGATGGCATTTCAACCTCCCACAAAGTTGTGCCCCTCAGGACTGCCAATGCTTTTTTTTTAATGAAAATATATTTTTGATTTCTTACACACTTGTAATTTGAGTTATTACACATACAGAACATGTATCAGATTTTTCATATTTATAAAATGTCTTCTCAGATCACTCCATTTTTCCTTTCTTGTTAAAAACATGTTCACAGACCGTACAAAGTGGCCTTTCTGTTTACGTGTGTTCTTGTTGTATTGTCTTTGCAGTCGAAATCAGCTGTCCGCCCTGCCCGCCTGCCTGTGTGGTCTGCCTCTCAAAGTCTTAATCGCAAGTAACAACAAACTTGGATCATTACCAGAAGAGATAGGTCAGCTCAAACAGTTAATGGAGTTGGTATGTTACCGATTTTTAAGATGCTCTTTTTCGTTGGTTGACTGATCATAGCCTCTGAAGGTATTCAGAAAGACTTCTTGCCGCGGTTGGACAAGGAGGAGCCTTATTTGTCTGAGGGCAGTGTATGATAAAGACATTAAGTGGGGAGAGGAACAGCCTTGCCCTTGCTGTGACAGACACAGTTCCTGAAATTTACAGGCTTCCTGTAGCTTACGGCTCCTGACGTTAGTTCCTGAAGTGTGCAGGTTATCACACTGTAGTTAGACATGTTTTTCAGATTGCGTATAAATTTATGAAAAATTATGGCTAAACTGGCAAAGTAATCTACAAATAAGTTAGTAGGCCACACTCCATGAAGGCGTTATAATTAAATCAGAAGACAGAACAGAGTGCTCTGATTCTGTAAAGATTTTAGAAACCAATGTCCCAAATTGATGTAACTTTAAAATGTGACCATGTCCCCAGGGATAGAAAAGAAGAACAAGTTATAGATGGACACGGATCGGTTATAAATGTGTGCCTGAGGCCGACATGGCTGTTCTATTTCAGTCTTTCACTACTAGGTTAATTACTCACCTTGTTCCTAAATTGGGAGACACTGAATCCCTTCTAGGTTTGCAGTGAGCTAACATGGGTGAATGAAGAGGCTAAAACGTAACAGTCATAATTTATTCTCCAAGCAAGTGTTAATATTTATTCTGTACCGACCTTGTGTCAAGCGCAGGGCTCAATGGGATTAAAATGACGGACACAGTTCCTGTCTTCCAGTAGATTCCAGTCTAGAACATCGATGACCAATAAGTTTTGTCTTGTGTGGCTGCTGCTTTGGGGCCACCTGACACTGCAGTGATGGCACACGTGAGGCTCAGATAGAGAGTGCTGTGACCACTTAGTCATGTCTGCAGCGGGAACTGGCTAGGAGAGTGACAGCACCCACGTCACATGTGTATCAGCTTTGACTTTAGTATAGAAATGAGTACTTGCTGTAGAAAGGCATTAGAGCTATAAAAAGTGTCTTTTTTGGGGCTTATTTGATAGCACTTTCTGAAACCCATTCCAGTTAGCTCATACCAAAAGTCAGGGTTGGTTAGAAAGATGCAGGGATCTGTCAGATCACCAAGTGTCAGGACGTTTGGTCACAGACCATGAGCAACTAGAACAAGACCCTGGATCCTTGTCGAGGACTGTGACAGCGGTTTGTTTTCCCACTCAGCTTTCTCTGCATTTCCATACAGTAGCAGAGGTTGCTCAAGTTTAAATGTCCTCCCAGCTAAAGCACCTAACAGAGACCTACCAGCCTCTCTCAGCCTCAGGTTCTACGTGAGCGGCAAGATGTGCGTCCTCCCCTGACTCCTCAGCTATGCCCAAGGCACACAGTCACACCGCCCAGACACGGCTGCAGGGCTGCCACTAAAGGGGGCAATCCTGAAAGAAGACATACCAATTTGGGCAGACACTCCCCAACACCCCCCCCACCAAAGTTTCTCTTGCAAGGAGTACGTGCACGAGGTGGGGGATGACCGATGCATCTTAGGGTTGGGAAAGGTTTGTAAGAGAAAACACCTTTGAGAGCCCCTTACATAAGCCCATGTGGGATTTCCTGGGAGGAAAAAAGAAGGCAAGGACAGGGGACACATTCAGGGAAAAGGGACAGCCTGTGCAAAGGCAAGATGGCCCGGAAGTCCATAGTGTGCTTGGGGAGTGGGAAGCCGTTGAATCCGGCTGGAGTCTAGGTAGAATGGGGCTGGGCGCGCCATCCTCGCGTGCACTGCCTTAGATTTAGGCCACTGGCAGCTCCTTCACAGGGCGGTCAAGGCCCTCCGTGGTGGGGCCCTGCTGTCCTCTCCAGGTTCATCTCTTGCCACTGGCCCCTTCACCCCCTAAGCTTCTGCCTTCCGAGAATGCACCTTGTCCATTTTCCCTTCTGAACTTGTGCACACATCACTCTTCCTGCATGGGCTATCTCTTCCTTCTTCCTTCTCCTCCTTTCTTGGTCAGTTCTTAGCCAAGTTAGATTTCACTTCCTCCAAAAAGCCTTCCTGGATCCTCCAAGTCTGAGTTGAGTGCTCCGAAGGCAAGCACCCCATATTTATTACTGAATGTTAATGGAATCACAGGTGTTTTCTTACTTGGCTTCCTCTGTGCCAGCTCCCCACACCCAGAAAGCTGCTTAAGCACAAGAACTTCTTATTTGCTATTGCATCCCAGCTGCCTGACACCCAAGAGGCACCCATCGGTGTCTGCTGCATGTTGCTGGTGAATGGTGGGAAGTGAACCTGGAGAGGTGGCTGGGGCAGACTGTGAAGACCCCCAGGTGCTGTGGCTTGGAGGGCTTGGAGGGTGGGGTGAGGAGACTCTGTCTATAGTCCAAGTAATGCAGAAGATGTCACTAACTGGTTCCAGAGGAAAAAATATAGAATAATGCTGTCGATGAAACTGATAGTCCTATGCTTCTTCTTTTTCTTTTTTAATGCTTCCTTTAGGAGTCTGATAAACCACAAAATCTGTGGTTGCTAAAATTTGGATTAGATCTTGCAACTAAAACATGAATAACAAGGTTTTTTTTAATAGACTTTATGTTTTAAAGCAGTTTTATGTTCACAGAAAAATTAAGAGGAAGGTACAAAGCTATCCCATATGTCCCAGGGCCCCACACATGCATGACCTCCCCCATTATAAACATCACCAGCCACCAAGGTACATTTGTCACGACTGATGAACCTACACTGACACATCATTGTCACCCAAAGTCCATAGTTTACAGTAGGGCTCACTCTTGATGTTGTACATTCTATGGGCTTGGGGAAATCCACCACTGTAATATCACACAGTGAAGTTTCACTGCCCTAAAACCCCCTGGCTCTGCCTATTCATCTCCCCCAACCCACGACAACCACTGATCTTTTTACTGTCCCCATGGTTTTGCCTTTTCCAGAATGTCACATAGTTGGAACCATATAGCTTCTTTCACTTAGTAGTATAATATGCATTTAAGGTTCCTTCATGTCTTCTCATGGCTTGATAGTTCATTTTTCTTTAGTACTGAATAGTATTCCTTTGTCTGGATGTACCACCATTTGTCTATCCACTCACATACTGAAGGACATCTTGGTGGTTTCCGCATTTTAGCAATTGTGAATAAAGTTGACAAGTTGGTCCCCCAACCCCTGCTTCTTGGGTTCCTGCGCTGATGGATGGCACGCTGGTAAGATCAGTCTTCTGGAAGCTTTTGGCAGCTGATCTCTGTTTCTGTCCCATGAACCCTGGGCTTAAGTGACACCACATGCCATCCATCAGCTGTGCTCTAGAGCTGTGGACCAGCTCATCTGTTAGCAGGAGACACGTGTGCTGAGCCTGGGAGCCAGCCCCATACCAGAGCAGGGCTTTCCTCAAATACCCTTTGTCAGCTGCAGGGCTGGCCTATGTAAACAGTGCTATCTCCAGCTCTGGGACATACGAGCTGCTGGGTGGGTCTCAGGGGGCCCCAGGCTTTTCTTAGGCACCCGTCCTGGGCCCAGCTCTAGTAAGGACTGCCCTGCATGCTGTTACAGCGCTGTCGTGCCACTTACAGCACCTGATCCTTGTGTCTTTTCTCCACCAGCAATAACCATTGAACCCTCAAGTCCTAGAATGTTCAAGCCATAGGGGATTATAAAAGGCATCTAGTCCAAGCTCTTGACATCTTACAAATGAAGGAATCCAAGGCAGAGAGACAGTGAGCAATGTATGGAAGGTCAACCCAGTGTAGCTAAGTTGTAACCTAAGCTGAAACACCCTCACCCAGCACTGTCCAGTGGAAATAGAATGTAAGCAACAAACATGATTTTAAATGTACTGGTAGCCACATTTATAAAAATAAAAAGAAGCAAGTAAAATTATACACACACACACATACATACTTATATTTGGAGACAGCGACTCACTCTTTCACCCAGGCTGGAGTGCAGTGCCATGATCATAGCTCAGTGCAGCCTTGAGCTCTTGGGTTCAAGGGATCTGCCTGCCTCAGCTTCCTGAGTAGCTGGGACTACATGTGCGCCACCATAGCTGGCTAAGTTTTTTGTAGAGACAAGGTCTCAGTATATTGCCTAGACTGGTCTTGAACTCCTGGCCTCAAGCGATTCTCCAGGCTTGGCCTCCCAAAGTGCTGGGATAATAGGCGTGAGCCACCATTCTTCACCCTGTTTAACCCCAAATGGCCAAAATATTATTACTTCAACATGTATACAATATGAAAATGAGATAGTTTACATTTTTTTTTTCATACTAAATCTTCAAAATTCGGTGTGTATTTTACTCAGACAGCACATCACGGATTGGACGGGCCACATTTCTGGTGCTCAGTGGCCCCATGTGGCTAGTGGCCGTTCCACCAGACACTGCTGCCCCATGTGTATGAGCAAGCATGCTCTTTGTGAGAAGCATTTATTTGTGAAGTTGGTGAAAATTTATTAAGTTGTTATTGTTTAACCACAGGGAGTGACTGGCCTTGTTTAAGGTCACAGACTAAAAAAAGATTACTTTCCATCCATTCTTATTTATCTTTCGTATCTTTTTGCTTAAAATAGTAGTGTTACTATAGGTGACCATACCGGATTATTTTTAGCTATCAATTGGAGAAAAAAAAAAATTCCCTGGAGAGCCTGAGGTAATTCTAGAATTGGGGTGGAAGGCTTCTGTTTTGTAGTCCCATTGTAGCAAACTTGTTGAAATATTTGGGAGCTCCACAGGCTTTCAGAAGACCTGAAGGTCCAAGTGTGTCAGTGCTGATAAAACTGCTCAGTTTATTAGGCTGTAAGCACTGTTTGTTAACTATTTTGGAAGAAATATTTTTTGAATTTTTTACATCAGACTCAGGGTATCTTTTTTTTTTTTCTTTTTTTGAAACAGTCTCACTCTGTCACACTGGATAGAGTGCAGTGGCGTCATCAACTGCTCACTGGAACCTCAAACTCCTGGGCTTAAGTGGTCCTCCTGCCTCAACCTCCTGAGTACCTGGG